TAGAGCTATCAGTTCCATTTCTTCTCCTTTCAACTTTCAGTTCTTACTACGGTGCTAAACCGCAGATAAGCCATACCGGATTTTCCGGTGATTCGCGAATCAATGTGCCCAGCTGGGTGCCCCGAAAACGCACGCCCCGCTTGTACCCCAGGCACAAGCAGGACTAACCCATCACTCTTCTATCCCGGGTGTTTAGGTCCCCGTCCAAACTTGGACTCCAAGACCCCACATCCTGAGTCCCGGACTCAGTGTGGTGCAAGGACCTCCACCACCTTCTCTTTCCATCAGTCGGTCCGGAAAGAGCCGGATCCACGATAAGAGAGCAACAAGTCTTCCCTGCGCCTATACCCAAGTATGCGCTCGGTACAATAAATCTGTGACTTGCCTAGAGCCATATGCAACGACCGGTCCTTAATCGACACAGACAGGGAAAAGTGTAACCGAGCCATGCCCTGTTGGCCGCAGGACACAACCCCTTACACCCACCAATACCCAAACCATATCTCTGCCCGGTCACCAGTTACCTCTACCATTTTATCATGAGTGATCATATTTTATCACCTACTTGTGAGTAACGGCAGGTTACTCACGCTACCGATATCCTGAGCATAGCAGCTACTCGACCTATACTAGTAGGACTCATGAGTAGATATATTTATGCAGGTAGTTTTCATAAAATGCATGTAACTTAAATGCACACACACTCACTCACACACACACATATATATATAAGTGATCAATTAAAATAGGGGTTATGCACCGGGGCTTGCCTTGAGCAGGTGACGGGTCAGTAAGGTCAGCACCAACAGGCTCCTGGGCTCCTTCTTGCACGAGGATCTCCTCCTCGTACTCCTCGATCACATCGTCATACTCTGGCTCGCCGACAGGCACGAAGTCTACCAGCTTGTGATCTACATGCATGAAATGATGATGAAATGCTTAATAGTATAGCAACAGCAACTCCTAAAATAAAAATACATCGATTTAACTACTAAGCTAGTGCTACTGTATAGAGACTTACTTTTGACCCATAAATGGATTTCTACATGCGGCATCCCATATGTTCTTTTCTTTCATGACAAAAACCTTTTGGGTTATGCCATGTAAATGTTTTCATATAAATCCCCGTTTAGTAATGCCGTCTTTACATCCATCTCATGTATTTCTAAATCGTAATGTGCTATGAACACCATTATGATTCTAAATGAGTCCTTGCTTGAGACTAGAGAGAAAACTCTCATTGTAATCTTTTCATTCTCTTTGTGTAAAGCATATTGCTACAAGTCATGCTTTATATCTTTCTATACTTTTTTGAGTCACAATTTGTCTTGTAGACCCATTAACATCCTACTGTTTTGGCTCTATTAGGAATTACTTCTACCTAAACATCGTTGGTACTCATCGAATATATTTCAACTTTATAGCTTTTTGCCATTTAAACGAGTAAACGCTTCTCATGGCTTCTTCAAATGAGGTGGGATCACCATTCATTTGAATTTCTTTACTAACATAGACTTTATAGTCATCAGAAAACTGGTTTACTAATTCTTTAGGGCCTCAGCTACTAGCACTTTCATATGGGGCTGTTGTTGCTCTTCATTGTCAAGAGACAATTGATTCTACAGGCTCCTATATAACAAGATCCTTATTTACATTATTTATCTTCTTCGAAGAGCTAACATCAGGTGTTGTATTGGTCATACAACATCAACAGGTATTGAGAAACTTATTGCTCCTGTGTCACTGGAGTGGGCACATAGTTCATCTTCTCTTCAAGTCTTAGGTCTCTATATACCTCTACATACCATACTCCTCCAGATCTTCTCATCTTTTCTAAAGATAGTGTATCTTCAAATATCTTATTTTAGGTTTAATCTGTTAAAATATTATTTGGCGCTTTAAGCACCACCTTAACATCTTTGAGACTAACTACACTATTTTTCTGTCGGAACTTTAAAAAGTCTAGGACTTTAGCTATTTCTCTGGTTAGGGGTATCATTGTTGTAACCGTTGTAATCCTCCAACGATCACATTCAGCTTAATTAATCTTTATCTCACTCTTAATGAAGAGTATTTTTCTTAATTGATCTTTATATTTTTCTCCCCCTCAAAATATGGCATGAACTTTACTGCCATAATTTTGATAACTATTCAGAAAGCCTGTAAACGAGGAGACACTTATAACTTACTTCATTCACATGATTGTGTCATGTAAACAAAGTTATTTCTTGATCCGTTTAAGAGTACACTTTCCTTAATTCATTTTAAGAACTCAACGAGTTTTTTCATTAGTGATACTTTTGCAAGTTACATTGGTATCTTTTCTTTTCTTTTGGTTAGTATTGACCATGACTATGCATTTTTATTGTGCCAAGGTCAATACTAGGACAGCATAAGAGCTACCTAAACTTCTCTCGCTATGCGGGATACAAATATACAAAAACTTAGTCATGACGACTAAAACATTCACTTATACTTCATTTTCCAATTAAATCTTCTCGTTGGTTCTAATTTAATCAGAAAATTAGTAAACTAATAAAAATTGTCCTGAACGGGCTTGACTCAAGCCTTTTCATTGACATACCCCAGCATTGCAGCCCGTTGGCATGCAGCCGAGTGATATCGTCGAATTAAAACATACAAGGTGCTTCTGCATCAATTCTACATCACCGTTGGGCGAAAAATAGAATTAATGCATAAAACTCAGAAATTAACTTGAAAATTCATATAACTACTCTTTAAAATTAAATTCTCCCGTTGGTTCAAATTTACTTGGACGATAATCAACTTAATTGCAGCAAAAACTTAATAGTGAAATACATTCTTTTAGTTCAGGAGCATTTCTTGGTCTACTCTTTGAAAAATTCGTGTAAAATTTATCAGAGATTTAAACTTCAGACTCAAATTCGTTATAATATTGTCATCATCAACGTTGGTCAGAAAATAATAATACCATAATCTTATATAAACAAAACGGACTACTCCTCTAATTAAATTTTTCCGTTGGTTCTAATTTAATTAGAGGATCAACATAATCATAATTTTCTAAATATAACTGCTCTTCAAATTAAATTATCCCATCGGTTCGAATTTAATTAGACGATAATCAGCATTAAACTTCGCAGATGAAACTTAAAGATAATTTGTGAATTTTACCCACAGGAAAATTCACATTTCTTCTATTTTCTTTGAGCCATTTTTCAATTTCTAGAAATAACCATTTACTGGAAAACAAAAAAGAAAAAAAAACTAGGCTCAATCTTGACTGGTTCTCGGCCCAAAACGGCAAAAGCCGCCCGGCCCAGCTCCCTTCCACGTGCGCAGCCCGTACCCAGGCCACAACCTGGGCCTGGGCCGGCAAAGCCGCGCGGCCGCGCGCACCCACCTGGGCCAGCCTCTGGTCCGGCTACTCTCCGTCGTCCATCTTGATCCGATGGCCACGCGCGCGTTTCGCTCGAACAAAAACCCGCCATGGCCGGTGCCCCCGAAACCCTAATTCCATTTCGCTCTTCCCTTTCTCTTTCCCTCCCATCTCTCTCGCACGGCCGTCGAGCAGGCGAAACAGCGCCGTCGCCCGAACTTAGCCGCACCGTCGAGGGCGGCTCGTCGGAGCGCGCGTGCGGCCGGGGCTGCGCGTGGCCTCGTCGAGCCACCTCACGGTGGCGCGTGGAGGTGAGCCCGGAGCCCCAGCGCGAGCCTGATGGCCGACCGATCTATCCCGGAGCCGAGAGAGAGAGAGATGGCGCTGTCACCGCCCCCCTCGCCAGTGCACGTGCTCCCCAGTGGGTGAGCGCGCCGCCGTCGAGCGGCCTGGCCGCGGCGCCCTAGCACGAAGCTTGGCGTAGGCCTGATGAGCATCGGCTCGGAGTACTTCTCGCGCGCCGACGAGGCGGCAGCGCGGTGGAGCGCCGAGGTAGGCCTCTTCCCCTTTTCCTCTTCTATCTTTGGATCTTGCTATGTTCTTCTCGGTTCTTTGTTGATTGGGGATTATGGTTAGGGTTAGGGTTAGGTTTAGCTGTTCATCTTCCCCGATGGAATTAAAGTTCGAGTTGATGCTTATGGTTTGAGTTAGGGTTCAAACCCTCTTTTTCTTTGCTTCTGTTGTTCTTCCCCTTCTAGGGTTAGGGTTATGAACCATCTCTTTCGATCCGAATTGGATCTTTCTCATCTCCTTCTAAATTGCTATCCCTAATTTAGATCTACACTAGAACCTGGCTCTGATACCATTGATAAACATATAGGATCATTAGGAGCATAGATCTAGCATGTAGAATGGTTCTATTCGGGATAAAAGACGTAGCGCATCCTAATACATGTAGAACTAGAGAGATAGAGAGGGAAGGGAGAGAGGTGAGATGTCACCGGTCATTGGAGGGTCGTAGTTGAATGCCGTGCAGTGGAGGCGTAGTCCAGTGGCGATGCAGAGGCGATGGTGATGTCGGTGGCGGCTTCCTGTCGCTGATAGTACCGTCTCTTGATCGGTTAGCATTTCTCTGTGGGTAGGTCACGGCAGCTTAGGTTAACCTCGTAGCTTGTGCCCGGCTCCCACCTCTCTTTTTTATGGTACTGTGGGATGGAGCCCACTGACCAGGGAGTGGTTGGGCGTCACCCATCAGGACGCGGATGGACCGTTGGGCCAAACTAACAACTTGCTGGCGCTGGTGATTACCAAGGTACAGCAGAGAGCTAGCTGCGGAGCGGCGTGCTACGCGACGTACATGCCGCAACGGCTCAGTCACGTCACGCCGAGACCATCGCCGGTGGGGTGGTGGAGGGATCGGTGGGTCGGTCAAGGCATTCCGTTCGCCGCCACGTAGACGTGCCAGGGCCTTCAAATACCCGGCCCAGCCCAGGCCGTCCGTCCACTCGCCCACCATTTCCGCTCCCCCGCCCCCGGTCGAAACCGACGAGCACGGCAGCAGCCCTCCATCTCTCCTACGCTCCCTCCACCGAGTCTCGGCGGCTCCAACAACGCCCATCCACTCCGACCGACCACCGTCATGGCGAGGAGCGCGACGGTGATGTTCCTCGCGGCGGCGCTCGCGGTCCTCCTGCTGGCGGCGTCGTCGTCGGCCCCCGTGGCCAGCGCCGCGCGGGACGACCCGGCGGCGCCGGCCGTCTCTTCTCATGACCAGGTTCGTGCGTGCGCGGGCGTAACGTCTCTATCTCCGGCGCTCTCCATCGTGGGGTTGCTCTGACCGTTCGGTTTCCGGCTGGCTGCAGAGGCAGGGATCGGCGGCGGAAGGCGCGGGGTGCGAGGGCGCCAACGACGAGGATGAGTGCATGATGAGGCGCACGCTGGCCGCGCACACCGACTACATCTACACCCAGCAGCACCACAACTGATGATCCTGTCCTGCATAGGCTATGCCTATGCATACATGCGTTGCTCCGTGCTCGTGTTCATTCTTTCGTTCTGTCCGACGAGTCCGTGGTGTCTGAACACAGTGCATGGTGCGCTACCTGCGTGTCAATAACAGTTTCGAATTTTTCCATGTCACCGCGATCCATCCATCCTAGCGCCAGGATTTCTTGTTTCATGTATGCCTCAACTCATGTGTGTATGTCCGGATTCAGAAAAGCTTCGGTATTATTCACGAAACTTCAGATTTCAGAACGCATGAAATTCGCATGCCGCGCTGCATTGGATTTGTCACAGTTACAACATCGATCTCTGCTAATTCATTCCCCTTCAGGTTCTGAACGACCGGAGCTCCTGCTCTGCTCAATGGATCGTCAATATCTAGCACCTGTTCAACCATGTGTGCTCCAACAGTGAATCCCATGAATCGTAAAAACTTCTTTACTGGCCTTCGACGATCGACCAGAAGAAATAAAATTCAGTTAAACACTGCAGCAATATAAATCTCCAGCACATCATTATACGGTTCAAAATATACATACTCCAATATGCTGTATAGCAAGTAAAAAAAAAAAACTGCCGATGCATCCATCAGCAGTTCTACACATTCCTGACGCCTGATCTGGCATGTCCAGGGATGACTTCCTGACAGACGCAACGGGTCAAACAACAGCCGCAAGATTTTGTCCGAATCTTATGAGACACCGTGACAGAGCGAGCCATTGACCCTGCTGCTATATAGTATGTATCCAGGGGAGGGTCAGATCAGCAGTATTGTATATGCATGCACGAAGTTGACGACACCACCATACCTGCCCATGGATTGCTCTGCACTCGTGCTGTCATGCAGAAGATAAGCATGGCGTATCTCTAGAACACCTGACAGATGCCGTTCTCCTCATTACTTTATCCACTACACCATCTCTTAATACAACGCTTACTGGCTAAGCAGCTGACTGAAGCAAACAGCCACTCGTGTCCTCACCTGGACATGCCCTTCTCCAGCAGTCAGCGGGCAGACGGATGCTCACGTGCACCGTCTTGGTTCTTCTTGATCGGCGGCGACAGATGAGGTTGCGACTATTATCTGCATGCATGGTGAGATAATATCGTATATGGAGCCGTCAGCTAGCTATCAGATTAAATGGGGTGATGGCAATGAGAGAGTTGACCGCCAATCCGTGCGTGCCATCTGCCATGCAGCCATGGCCGCAGCTTGGGCTTTTTTCTTCCAGAACTGCGCCTCTCTTTCATGACCTGTTGAGGAGTGCACGCAGATAGGAGCTTGATCACGACCTGCCTGCGTGTGCATCTTCCCTCCCCCTGAGGCTCTGACCAGCACACTATCTGAAATGGATCGCTGGTCTGCATCTTCCATCCCTCTGAGGCTCTGACCACCACACTAACTGACGTGGATCATCGCAGTCTGCATGCTACAGAAGAGCTTCCCTCAGATCATATAAGTGTATGGATGCAGAAGAGGCAGACTGATTCGTGAGAGACAGTGCCAGTCAAACAATCTTTAATCATGAAAGGTAGGCCAGGCCAGTAGCATACAATTCTCCATGAGGAAACAAAAGGTCATTGGTTCTGGAATCATTACCTGTAGCCTCCTGTACCCGTAGATCTGGTGGGAGAAGGCCTGATCTTGACTTAAAACGTGAGAAAATAGGCGGAGAATTTCGTGCAAGGTCTGTGTTCACACCTGAGACTGGGATATCCAGAGGCACTCCAAATTTGACATGGCGATGCTGATTGTACGGTAGGTTCTTCTAACCCTCGCCCTGAAAGTTCTTAATGTGCCTGCAGCCACTGAGATTTTCAAAGGATCAGTTTCTCAACTGTGGAATTTAATGCTCTTGGACTTGGACAATACAATTTGAAAACATCGCAGGTTTGCCAACCTAATTGCTGCTGCTCCAGACGAACCCAGCAGCAAAGTTAGAAATATGATATGAACACCACGGCGGCACAATCTCATACGGAACCATCCAAAATTCAAACAGAGACGTCTCTTAGAGATTTTAAAGAAAGTCAGGGGTCATGAATGCAAGCTAGATTTTCAAACAGTACTAGCAACTGTACTCTTGGTACAGTGTAGACAAAGAATGTGTGGACTCTGAAGGCCATCTACCAAGTTGGCTAGGGAAGAAATACAACTTTGCACCAGAGAGGGAATTACGAAACAAAATAAATCAAATTCTTGAGACATTGTAGAGAGAATTCCTTGAGTATTGAACCCATGTCTATCAGCAATTCAGTACAGACTAAAATAAATACATGCAAAAACTTTGTAGATCAGGTACATACTAATTTTGTGACATGCCTCCTGAAAATTGAAATGATGACTAACAGTGCAAGTACAGATTGTAGTGTTATGCCAAAAAAAAAAAAAGACCAAACTTGGCAACCAGGCTCCAGCGTATTTGCATCCACATCAGTGCATCCCCAAACCCCCAAAACTCTGTCAGCGGATGAATATCACCGTCAAATTTCTCTCCTTTAGAATGAATCTTGACATCACAGGGTAATGGCCTGGATGTCCACAGAGCATGCCATCCTGGGTGAGCAACATGTAGGAAAAGTGGGTATTATGTGAAAAGAAATCTTCTAACCTGATTTTTGTAAAGAAATGTTCTAACCTGATTTTTGTATGACTAAAAGCGAATCTAGCAACATGTAGGAAACAATTGGCAGATAAAACTGTAAAAGTACAGGTAGGAGAAAAAAAGTGGAATTATGTGAAAATAAATCTTCTAACCTGATTTGCAAACAAAGATGATACAAGCTCTGGTAGTGGTATATTACTTTGTCTCTGCAATCTGCATCAGCTCAAGAATCAAATCAAATAACTTAAATAGATGACACCAGAATTAGGTAACTACCAAAGGAAAGCAAATAATCACATCAGAATTACAAAATGGAAAATGGTATGGAGAAATAAAGAATCTGCAGGACCTTAGCCCAACTCGTCTAGCAAAGAGCATAAAAAAAGAAGAATTTGGGGGGAGACCGCCTCCACGGAATTGGCTTAAAGAAGAGACCAAACCACTCCTGGACCTAGAAAAAGTCCCAAAAGTTGCCTGGCCAGTGGCTCCATTCGCCTGCTTCTGAAGGCAGTTTGCACAGCGAGCGATTTATTTATAAAAAAGATGCAGCACCAAGGGGAACGCCCAGAGCGGCTTGAGCCCGGGTCTGGGGCATCACAACAGACGCACCCAGCCACCACGCTATACACGGCAGAAAACATAATTTCGATCAAATATAACATTCCCACGAGACATGGGCACTATACGGTGAACATAATATACTTTGTTTTAAGGTTTTGTTTGAGCAAACACTAATATTTATAAATATACTCGAATATGTGTACAGGATGAACTTAACGTCGGTATTTAATTTCACAGTATAGTTATCTTATCGTGCGGTCCATGTGCTTTTTAGTATAAATTGTTAGCTATCCCGTAACAACATACGAGCACGCTACCTAGTCTAAGCAAAAATATCTATCCTCTCTGGTGGATATAGTGGTGCAACGGGACTGAATGCGCGCATTGCTGCCCTTGAGATGCACGCGTGGCAGCGGCAGCGGGAGTGCACGTGGCGGCTTACAGCTACAACATCGATGGTCGCGCGAGTCAAGTGTGGATGTACTCCTTGTGCTGTGCGTCGTCGCCATATTTTCACCAAAAGTCAACGGCAGCCCTCGGGCTGTGGTTTTGGTGAATTGATCGGGCCCTTCGATCCGCGCCCTGATCGGGGGCGCCCAACCCTAATATGGTTGGTGGGCCCCCGTCGCACAGCGCCATAAATAAGAGGTGGGGGTCGGGGCGCTCGAGTCACGAGGTTCGCCTGAACCGCCTAGCACCCCACCTACAGTCCTAAACTCTAATCGGTCACAGAGGGGGTGCTGCCAGCGACGGGAAACGCCGCCACTGCCTCTGCATCACGCCGGAGGACTGCTACGACGCTGGGCTGCCCTGCGGCCTCTACACCGACCCCGGACGACACCGCTACTGCACTGCCACCGGGTTATCACCAAACACTGTGATGGCGAGCCCATCTTCCTCCAAGGCAGCCGATGGTTTGCACCCCTTCACCCCTCTCTATCATTCTATCTCTAATCCAGTACTAGTAGATATCCTAGGACTCGTTGTTTATTCAAAGTACAAGTAGACATGCTAGATTTATGCTTAGAGATCCTGTTTTAGTTTTAACAATGGTATCAGAGGCCTAACTAGGTGTAGATCTAGCCTATCGGAAGCCTCTGTCTAGATGTAGATCATGTCAGGGGTAACAAACAGATTAGATCCGTTCGGATCTGAGAAGAGAAGAGGGACTCGGCTTCAAGAAGAACCCGAATCCGAGCTCAAACCCACGAAGAACTCATTGGGGAAGATGAACAGTGACTCCAGTGAGTCAAACCCTAACCCTAACTTGACTTAACCCTAACCCTAATCCCCAACCGGATGAAATCCGAGAAGAACAGAGAAGAAGATCCAAAAGGAGATGAAGAAAAGGAGAAAGGGGAAGAGGGGAAGGGGCCTACCTCGCCGTTGCACCGTGCTGCCGCCTCGTCGGCGCGCGAGAAGAAGGCCGGTGCTCGTCGGGCTCTGGCCAAGGGCGCCGAGGCCAGGCCGCTCGACGGCGGTGCGCTCACCCGCTGGGCAGCGCGCGTGCCGGCGAGGGGGCCGGCGACGGCGCCGTCATTGCTCTCGCCTCGCTCGGTGTCGCTGCCCGGGCTGAGAGAGAGAAGGGAGAAGAAAGAATGGCACTAGGATTTCGGGAAGGGCGACACGGCGCTATTTTTGATCGGTCGAGATCGCTGCGCGACCATCGGATCTGATCCAATGGCAACCAGAGAATGGGTCGCCTTTCATCCCAGGCGGGCGAGGGCGTGAGGCCGCTTTCCCGGCCCAGACCTAGGTTGCGGCCTGGGCGCGGGGGAGCGCGCGGCACAGGGCTCGCACGGCCGCGGGCCGTG